TGTGTTCGGTGGCGACGTTGCGTTGTACGCGAGTGCGCGCGTGGTTGCGTCGGGGGGCGCTGTGCTGCGCGTGTCGGGGAGCCAGGTGTACGCCGCGCATGGGTTGGTGTTTGGCAGCGGTGTGGTGGCCAACGCGTCCGCCGTCGTAGTGAACGACAACGCCGGTGCGCTGACCGATGGCGCGCTGCTGGTGCTGCGGGGGTCGGCGTCGTTTGTGTCCGGGTCGTGGCTGTCGGTGCGCGGCAACAGCATCAGTGGCAGGCTCCTGTCAGTGCCGTCGTACCCGCGCAGTGCGGAGCTCGCGCAGAGCACACTGACGCTCCACGGGAACGCCGGCAGCGGGTCTGTCGTGATGGACGGCACCGTTGCGCTTGGGGGCGCCGGCCGAAGGTTCGTTGTGGGGTGCCTGACGCTCAACGGGCAGGCGCTGCGGGCGATGGACTACAGGTCCGCCGGCATCATCGGGGAATTCCGCCCTGTGGCGTGTGGCGTGTGCGACGCCGACGTGCGCTGCTTTGCAGCTGCGACGAGGGCGATGTCGGGGTCGTGCCGCTGCCGCTGTGCTGAGGGCGGGTACGGGCGCGACTGCCTGCCGGTGTACCTGCCGCGCGTGGACGGGTGCAACCGCACGCCTGGCATGCCGCTGCTGAGCCACACGGCGACGCTGACGGAGACGGGGAGCCTGACAGCGACATGGACGGCGACACCGACACCGAGCCTGAGCACGCCGCACTACAGTCCGACGCAGTACGGGCCGACGGAGACACTGCAGGTGACGGAGACGGTGGCGCTGTTTCCCACGCGGAGTCCAACGGCGTCGGTGAGCAGCACGCTGTGGTGGAGCGACGTGGCGTGCCCGACGCTCGCCGTGACGACGACGGCGGCTGGTGGGAGCCTGACGCAGAACGACATTCGCGGCGGTGGGAGCGCCGACCCGACGCTGCTGATGGTGGCGCTGCCGCCGCCCTTTCGGTGGGCACGTGACCCGCAGCTCGGCACGCACCTGAGCTTTTTGCCGGTGTCGACGGCGCAGCCGAGCGGGTTTGGCGGTCCGTGGGGAGCGATGCTGAGCAACGCGACGTGGGTGCGCAACGCGACGAATCCGTCCACCGTCCTGGAGCTGGCTGTTCCCGTGCACCGCGGTTACTTCATTGGTGCCGACGAGACGATAGTCATTCGCTGCGACGCTGTGGCGGTGTCCGGCGGCTGCAAGGGTGTGCTGCTTGGGTCCTTCACGATCAGGTCGAACACGCCGCCCGCCGTTGCCAGCGCCCTCTCGGTGATTACCGGCGTCGTTGCGGGCGCGACGGCTGTTGCCGTGGTGGTGACCGGCGGGCTGGGCTCCATCCTGGAGATGCAGGCACTCGGCGTGTTTGCGAGGATGCCATGTGCCTCGGCACAGGAGCGTGCGAGCACCGTTGCGCTGCCGTACTTCCTGTCGGTGTTCGCTGCCCTTGACCCGCTGTGGATGGTGGTGGGCAACGCGCTGCTGGCCGCTGTGTTTGGGTGCGTGCACTACTGTGTGACGGCCGCCTTCCAGCGGTGGCGCGGCGTGGACGCGGCGAGTGCGTGGGCGGCGATGCGCTTCCCGAGCCTGACGTACGTCGTGGCCCACGCGATGCACCTCGGCATCTTCTTTGGCTCTGTGCTCGCACTGGCGATGCCCGGCGCCCGCGTGCAGCACCGCGTGGTTGCTGTCGTTGGCGTGCTGTACGGTGTGGGATTTCCTGCTGGCGTGTGCTACTTGATTGCCCGCCACACGGGCGCGAGCTTCACGAAGTACTGGCAGTTTTTGAGGAAGCCGCTGCACGAGCGCCTGCTTTACCCCGTCGGGTATTGGTTTCCAGCACCGCAGCAGCGGATGTACGGCGGCATGCTGACGAACATGAGGGGCAGCCACGTGTACTGGTGCGTGTTCCGGCTGTCGGTGCTGTGTGTGGTGGGCCTGATTGCGGCTGTGCACCCGCCCGCGGGAGGCTGCCACGTCCAGTACTTTTGCATGGCGGCTGTGCTGGTTGCGGGCGCGGGTGTGGTTGCCTTCACGAACATGATGCGCTCGGCCTTCCTGACGGTGATGCGCACGGCGGACTTTGTGCTCCTTGCGGTGCTGTGCGTGGTCAGCGCGGCAAACCACCTTGCGCCGAGCGACGGCGGTGCGAGGGCGTACGCGGCTATCGTGCTGCTGCTGACCACTGTGCTGCTCGCGATCACTGTGTACAGCGTCGTTGTGTGGTATGCGGAGGAACGCCGCTGGCAGGAGCTGCGCGAGCCGCGTCGTGGTGGGCTGGAGGCACTGCTGCGCGATGACGAGGATGGCGACGAGGACACGCAGAAGCCCCACGAAATGACGTCATTGTCGTGCGCCTCAGGCACCGCCGGCGCGTCGTCGTACCGACCACCCGCACAGCTCCAGCCTATGGCCGGTGACACCCGCTCAGACGCCCTGATCCTGCTCGACCGTGCATCCAGTGCGAGCTGCACCATTAATTATGCTCCTCTGGACAGGTGAAGGTACTCTGCTTGACGAAAAATTTGGCGCAGGTTTTTTTTTTTTTTGAGGTGGAAAGGCTCCGCCCCCCAACAGTAACGCTACGCGGCGAGAATACACAAGGCCCCTCGGAGATGTGGCATAACGTGGATGTTTTTGCTAGGCATCTTCTTTCTTTCCATTATTCATAGATTGGTTGGGCGATTGGTTTGCTGTTTTTATTTTAGTTTATCGAATATCGACGAAAGCGGATTATCGAGCTATCACGCTAGCCCGGGGCGGATGCGTAACGTGTGTGTGTGCGTGTGTTTTACGGCCTTCGCTGCCGCACCGAATATGTAGGCTAGTGGTCTCTCTTTTATATCTGTACTCAGTAGTGAGGAGGTGCTTGACGGTGGTGGCTGGTGTGCGGGCCATGGGATGCATTTAGGAAAACGTTAGGGAAAACAATCGATGAAGCCCTTCTGTGACGCGTCACCTCCTGGAGGTTGTGAGTGTGCGTTGCTGGCTGACGTGAGGGGAGGGCGTGGGGGCCACGGCTGTGCAGCTGCGCAGCCCCCCATCGGACTCCGCAGCGACAGCGTCATTGATTGTTGTTTTTTGTTGGTTTGTTTCTATTTTTTGTGCGGGCGCCTGCAGTGGCACTCTTGTTCCACGACGAGTGTGTGGGAGGGCATGCCTGTCGCTCTTTATACTTCTGATGTTGTGTAGAGCGAACAACAAGAGAATGAACGAAGAATTATGCGGAATGATGTATTTCTTTGTGGATGTAAGTACTGATGTATTATTTTGGACTACTCTGGTGGTTACTCCTGTCTCTTTTTACGTTGTTCCACACATGTCTCGTTGTTTGCTTTAGCACGGCCACACGGGCAGTTTGAGTTGCGGATAGTTTTTTATTTTTGATGTCATTTCATTTCAGGCACTAACGTGGGCACGTGCGGCAAGCATTCACTCTCCACAGCATGGTGCCTGATATTTTGGAGTCATCTCAGATGTAACGCAGGCACCGCCGCCGCGGCACTCATGGGAAGTGAGGTGGAACGCGGGATAGCGAAAGATATTGTGCTGCACATGTGCCTGTTGCATTTGTTTTTTGAGGAGGCCTTCAATTTAGAAGAAGAGGGATGAACATTGCACGACTCTGTGGCTTGGAGGAGTTGTTACTCCATTTTTTTAAAGTTTTTGGTATGATCTCCGGTTCCCACCCGTGCTTGCCCCGATTGCCTCCCTGAGTGGAGCTGCGCCACGGCCATCCTTTTCTGTTGTCCTTTGCAGGAGGAAAAACACATTGCGAGCGACGAAACCACACGTCATGCATGCGGCGTCCAGGGAGGTACGTATTTGAGGTGGAGCGCACATATGTGGATGTCATGTGATACGAACGGGGGTTGACTGTCCAACCGTCACTCCTTTTCTGGAGGGTGTGCTCTTCTTTTTTTTTTGCCCTTTTGCGTCGGGGCACGGCGGGATTGGGGAGCACCGTCCCACGAAATGTCTTGCACACATACACACTCTCATGCCACTGTCGCCCCCAAAGTCGGGTGCAAAACCCAAATTTCAGCTGCTTTTTGCGTTGGCGTAATTACTTATTTATTAACTGACGCCATTCTGTCCGGCGTGTCACTTTGATTGGATTGTGTGGAAGTGCTCGCCAACGCCATCGGAGAAAACAGGCTGACTTTTTCACGTATTTAAGTGCCGTTTTGCGCGCACGTATTTTTCACATGTTCTGTTGGGCACTCAGCCGCCGAGGGATCCGGAACTATGCGTGCGTGGGATTTGTCCTGCCATGTGAACTGCGGGCAACACCGAGGGTCTGTCACTTTGACTCCGCAGAGTTGTTGTGTCTCTTCGCAGGGTTGGCAGGGAAACTCCGTGCAGCCTGATATTTCTGGTGTGCCCTCAAATGATGTCACTCCATGCGAATAATGTGCTTCATCGAGTGAGGGGGATGATTGGGTTTGTTTGCACTCTGATTCTGTTTGCTACTTTGTGCGGGCACGCTAGACTTGAGGGATGGGAAAATGGAGCGGGGCGATGCATGGCCGCGTCTCGCCCATCGTTCACTGCACGATGGTGTGGTGCGCATTGTGGTGTTGACTCTGCGATGTGACTGCGGTCTCCTGTGCGGCAATGGCGGTGGGCGGAGGAGAGTGTTGAGTTGCATTGGGACGGTGGGATTGTGTTTTCCTTTTATTCTTTTGTGAAGCTGCACACTCATTACTAGTGTTGGTGGTAGGGCAAACGGACAGACAAAGTAAATAAAATAATAAAACAGAAAAGGGCGATAATGTGGCGGTGTTGTGGCCGATTGCACGTTGTGTTGCTGCGGGGGCGGCGGCCCTTGACTGTTTCGCCGACAGGCGTTGCAGTGCGGCTGCATGGCGCACCGACCACCCCGTCGTGCGAGCGCCACGCCCAACGCCATTGGGACTGCGGGAGGAAACAGCCGCGACTGTCCTTTGGAGCCGGCGGCACCTGCTGGCCGCAGTTGGGCGGTGCGAGTGGGATGCTTCATCGCACGGGTGTTGTGATGGCGCCTCGCCGTGGCTCCGGCGATGTTTCCGACGCTGCGACTCGCAGAGGAGTGGAGGGAACGCAGCAACCAAAGTGGACCACGAGCAGCAGCGTAGAGGACATTCTGCTGGGTGGAGACACTCTCAGCACCGACATGAAGCTGAACGATTTCCTTTGGGATTATGTTGGCCGCTTGGCGGCCGTTGATGAAGACCACAACGTGACGATGGAGGTGTTTCTTCAGGAGCCGGATGCTTACGTACAAGACCAGCAGCTTCTTAGAATTATTTTTAATTTAACAGAGTACCAAGAGATGAAAAGAGAGTTGGATGAGATGAAAATTCTATTGGAGGATATCACTAAGCTTCATCACGAGGGTGTGTTTTTGATTGAACAATGGAAGGACTATGAAGTAAAGGATATGATCACTCCTCTTGCAAGGGGAAAACTAAACGCAGCCCTCACTCAGATACTGAAAGTAGAACGGCGGGAGGCAGAGGGAAGGCTAAGACGAGCGCAAGGAATGAAATTTACCTTTTCCACTACGATCGAAGAAGTACTGTTTAAAGGAGGAGTCCGCGTCAATGAAATGAAGCTGAAAGACTTTCTTGCGAGGGAACTGGGCGGCAGGGGCGTTGTGGACACCAATCGGAGTGTCTTGCTGAAGGAGTTTTTTAAGGATCCCAATAAATATATCCCTGATAAGGGATTATTGAAAGAAATGCAGGCATCCGATCGTTATGCGAGGATGGAGGGGGCTGTGAGGGATGAAATGGATATGGAAGATGTACACAAGCTTTACAAAAATGGCGTGCACACTTTACTGAAATGGTCAGAAGCTGCAGCGGAGGTAAAAGCAACTGTTCATGGCATCACTAACGAGTTTTTGGATGTGGCCTTTGAGGAAGCGAGGATCCTAACGACGACGAGTGCACCGGAGAAACTGGAGGGGTTGTACGAGTCTGTGTACAATGCGAGGTGGCATCATGTGGTGGAAGTTCCTGACGACAAAGGAATGGGAATGGAGGTGAAGAAGGGGAAACCGAAACAGTCATGGAAGTACAGGGAGGTTGGTGACACCCTCGAAAAGGATGATGTTGTGGAGCAGTCCGGTGCAGCACCTCCCGTGTTGATGGTTCTCACCTCGGACGATGGATGGCCGTACACGCTGGTTGCACCGCGTGGGTCTGGTAATGACTTCTTTATTAACTCTGAGGTGGAGCGAGTGTGGCAGATCGTCAAGCGCGATCTAACCAAGTGGTCCAGCAATTTTCATTTGACTCTCAATCCTTCACCTTTGCCGCGTGTGTTGATTGGGACGCCCGGGATTGGGAAGTCGGCGGCTGCCAGCTCTTATCTACTCTACCAGCTGCTGCACTACGATGTGGAGAAACTCCAAGTGGTAGTCCACTGTTTTGGAAAAAGGGCGTACGTGTTTGACAAGATCACCAAAACCGTGGCAATATACATGGGTAATACAGAATCGAAGATCGTTTTGGGTGGTTTGTGGCAGCGTGGGATGAAAGGGTATATTATTTACGATGTGGCAAGGCAAGGAACACCGCCCGACACAAATTTTGCACCCTCTACCGGATGGGGCATGATTGTGGTGTCATCCCCAAACGTGCGCAACTATGATGGATGGGCAACGCAAGTAAAAGCCAGTCGAATCATCATGAATTGCCCCGCCAAGATGGATGTGAAGGCGATGTGTGCGTGGATGAAGCGAGGTCTGGATACAGATAAGCAAGCGGGATACTGGAGGATGGTTGAAGAACACATGGGAAAAGTGGGGCCGATTCCACGCCACATCTTCGATGCGGGTGAATATGGAAAACGCACGTGGGATGTTATGAGGGCCTTGAAATGGATCAATATTGGGGAGCAAAGAAAGTACTTTACAAAGGGAGGAGAGCAATGGTATTCCGAGGATCTGTCTCACAAACTTGTGAAGATTGTTCGAGTGAGAGAAGATGGCGCATTTGAGGACTTCAGTAATGCACCTATATGTGATTATCTTGGGGTTTTAACAGTATCTCGTTTGGCAAAGGCGCTGAGTCCGAATGATATTCTTTTCCTCGTATTGGGGATGAAGAATGTTATTCAACCTGCAGCTTTGAAAAAGTATGCTTTGAACGTATTCTTGAGTGTGGAGTTTGTCACTTCCATAGTGAAGGATCTCAAGGAGCTGCCGCTACCATCGCCTTCCGAACCACGTTCCTCGGTGCTAACGTTAAACCCTCAGGGTTACCCCACCGAGGCAGCTGCAATAACTGAACTGAAGTTTATTAAACGCCCGCAAGAATTAAAGTATCGGGTGCTGTACATACCGACGTTCCCAACCTTTCCGCTGGTGGACGGCTTTTTCTTTGTTGATTCGCCGCGGAAGACGCTGATTGGGCTGCAGATGACGACGGCGGGTGCGCACCACACTACCGCCAGCACTGTGAGGCAGTTCACTGAGCACCTGGCGGCGTATTTTAATGGTTGGGGGGAATTATCCCGAGACATGTCGTGGGAGATGATTTATATACAACACGCAGACAGCACGCCGATGGAAAAACGGCAGAAATGCCTCTACGTCGATTCCAATAATAAAACCGACGCGGAAAAAAAAATTGTGGCGTTCTGGGACGGAAAGGTACACCAATACCGGGTTATGTTAAAAGGTAAATTTCCTGAGGAAATCAAATTTTCTGATGATGGTCTACCTGAGGGGGATGAAAAAGGCAAGAAAATTGAAAAAAATAAGTAGTAACAAAGTGCATTTCGTTCTGGTGAAATATATTAGGAAGTATTTTAGCGATTTTTATATGAGTGTGCCTACGAGGTCTGGACAGTGAATGCCTTTCTTTTCAGAGAACCGTTGTGATCAGCAGTGCCACACTCACCACACCCTTTTTTTTATTTTATTTTTTCCACCAGAGGCGCATCGTCACTGGAGGCTGTTGCGCACTATAGGGGCCGCATAATTTTTCTTTATTTTCATGGGATTTTGTGAAAAGAATGCTTGAGAGGACGGCTGGCTGCCCAAATAAATTCATATCTCGCACAAACGAAGATATCTCTTCACAACTTTTTTTTCTATCGCACGGTCTTTTGGGAGACCGCGATTGAGGGAGTCAGGGAGCCGGCAGCTGCCAGACGAAATTATTGTTTTTTTTATTTTTTATTTTTGCCTTCCCACCCACCCACTTTGTGATCCCCACCTTGCGGCGTTTTTTTTCTGGCTGGAGGAGCCCCAAAGGCCTGCCACTTCGCAGGGGATAAGTGTTTCTAATTCTAACTATGTGCAGAATTCCACGGCAGTGATTAGCAGAATGTGTATACATAGACACATTGGGGCAAACATTACGGAGAACTCATTGCCTCTCCATTTACCGCTTTTTTTCCCCTTTTTCTTTTTGGGTAATTACGGGATCCGGCCAGCGGCCCAGAAGATTCTTTCCTCTGTGAAGCTGTGCACTTATTTTTGGTGCCGGTGATGAGGCAAACAGACCGACAACGTGAATCAAAAAAAAAAAAAAAAAAAAAGGACGATAATGTGGCGGTGTTGTGGCCGATTGCACGTTGTGTTGCTGTGGGGCGGTGGGCCTTGACTGTTTCGCCGACAGGCGTTGCAGTGCGGCTGCATGGCGCACCGGCCACCCCGTCGTGCGGGTGCCACGCCCAACGCCATTGGGACTGCGGGACGAAACAGCCGCGACTGTCCTTTGGAGCCGGCGGCACCCGCTGGCCGCAGTTGGGCGGTGCGAGTGGGATGCTTCATCGCACGGGTGTTGTGATGGCACCTCGCCGTGGCTCTTGTGATGGTTCCGACGCTACAGCTCGACATTTGGTGGGGAGTAAAGAGTGATCGCAGTGGACTCTTGACAGTCTGGTGGAAGATCTAATGCTAGACGGAGATACTCTCAGCACCAGCTTGAAGCTTAATAAATTTTTTTGGAATTGTATTGGCTCCATGGCGATTGTTGATGAAAGACTACAATGCGACGAGGGAGATGTTTATTTGGAGACTCGATGCTTACGTACAAGACCAGCAGCTTCCTGAAGAAATTATTAACTGCGTACCAGGAGCTGGAGGCCATTACTAAGCCGCTTCACGAAGGTGTGCTCTCTCTCGGGCAATGGAAGGACTATGAAGTAAACGATACGATCACTCCTCTTGCAAGGGGAAAACTAAACGCAGCCCTCACTCAGATACTGAAAGTAGAACGGCGGGAGGCAGAGGGAAGGCTAAGACGAGCGCAAGGAATGAAATTTACCTTTTCCACTACGATCGAAGAAGTACTGTTTAAAGGAGGAGTCCGCGTCAATGAAATGAAGCTGAAAGACTTTCTTGCGAGGGAACTGGGCGGCAGGGGCGTTGTGGACACCAATCGGAGTGTCTTGCTGAAGGAGTTTTTTAAGGATCCCAATAAATATATCCCTGATAAGGGATTATTGAAAGAAATGCAGGCATCCGATCGTTATTTGAGGATGGAGAGGGCTGTGAGGGATGAAATGGATATGGAAGAAGATGTACACAAGCTTTACAAAAATGGCGTGCACACTTTACTGAAATGGTCAGAAGCTGCAGCGGAGGTAAAAGCAACTGTTCATGGCATCACTAACGAGTTTTTGGATGTGGCCTTTGAGGAAGCGAGGATCCTAACGACGACGAGTGCACCGGAGAAACTGGAGGGGTTGTACGAGTCTGTGTACAATGCGAGGTGGCATCATGTGGTGGAAGTTCCTGACGACAAAGGAATGGGAATGGAGGTGAAGAAGGGGAAACCGAAACAGTCATGGAAGTACAGGGAGGTTGGTGACACCCTCGAAAAGGATGATGTTGTGGAGCAGTCCGGTGCAGCACCTCCCGTGTTGATGGTGCTCACCTCGGACGTGGGGTGGCCGTACACGCTGGTTGCACCGCATAGGTCTGGTAATGACTTCTTTATTAACTCTGAGGTGGAGCGAATGTGGCAGATCGTCAAGCGCGATCTAACCAAGTGGTTCAACAATTTTCATTTGACTCTCAATCCTTCACCTTTGCCGCGTGTGTTGATTGGGACGCCCGGGATTGGGAAGTCGATGGCTGCCGGCTCTTATCTACTCTACCAGCTGCTGCACTGCGATGCCGAGAAAATCCAAGTGGTAGTCCACTGTTTTGGAAAAAGGACGTACGTGTTTGACAAGACCACCAGAGCGGTGACAAGATACGGCGATGAGGACATGTGCATCTCGGAGTTGAGAAGTTTGGGGGGGCATGGGAGGAATGTGTATATTATCTACGATGTGGCAAAGGAGGGAACGCCGCCACCGAGACATTTTGCGCCTACTTCTGGATGGGGCATGATTGCGGTGTCATTCCCAAAGGTAAACAACTATGATGAGTGGGCGAAGCAACTACAAGCCGCGCGAATCATCGTGAATTGCCCGACGAGATGGATGTGAGAGCGATGTGTGCATGGATAACGCGCGATGAGACTAAAGAGAAACAATCGGAATACTGGAAAGAGGTCAAAAAACACATGTATCTTTTGGGACCGATTCCACGTTACGTCTTTGATGAGGAGGCGTTTAGGGAACGCTGTGGAGCGGTGAAGTTTGCATTGCAATCGATCAACGAGGTAACTGTGAAAGAGTACTTTTCACGGGGAGGTGAGTCGCCATGGTATTCTGAGGATCCGTCCCACAAGCTTAAGAGAGTTGTTCGGGAAATATACGCAGGCGGTTTGATCCTTTTCAATGCACCGATATCTGATTGCCTCGAGGAACGGACATTGGAACGCTTCCCAAGTGTAACGGAATAAGATGGCTTTTTGAAGCCGATGTTGGCGTCGAAGGATAATATTTTGCCAATATTTTTTGGATGGTTTGCTTTGAAATCGTTTACGGAGAGTGCCTTTGTCAAGGTAATAGCGACGAAACTCACCGAGTTTGAGCCGCCAACAGCACGTCAAGCAAAGCCCTGCGTCTTGAAGCTGGCCCCTGAATTACATCCCAAGGGAGATGAGGGTTTGCTGCCGAGTGAATATGAAAAACGATCCGTAAAATAAAGTACGGGGTGCTGTACAAACCGTGGGCCAAAATCTTTCCGCTGGTGGACTTTTTTTTTCTTTGTGAAGTTACCGCGGAAGACGCTGTTTGGGCTGCGGATGACTACGGCGGGTGGGCGCCACACCACCGCCAGCACTGTGAGGCAGTTCACTGAGTGCCTGGCGGAATATTTTAATAATTGGGAGGAATTATCCCGAGACATGTCGTGGGAGATGATTTATTTGCAGCACGCAGACAGCACGCCGATGGCTGGCTGGCAGAGATGTGATGTCGTCAATTCCAATACTGTGAGCGAGTAGGAAAAACATGAAATTGCGGGGTTCCGTGAGGAAAAGGCACGCCAGTACCAAGTGACAATATCATCCGGAGGCTTTAGAGGAGACGGAGCTCTCCGAAGTGAGGAATAACCACCGAAGCGGGAAAACAAATTGGGGAATGAAAAGGGACGTTTTGATTTCTGGTAAAAAGTACTGCGGGATTTATATATTTTTGGATGCTTGTGTCTGAGCATGCGGTGCGGGTGCACCATCCCCAGACGGCAGCACCGCACACAAATGCCAAAATGTCCAACGCTATCGAAATTAACGGTGACACAAGAAGTTAGGGAGGGAAGGGGTTGTTTGGTTTCTGGTGAAAAACATTGGGTGGTTTTTATATAGTATGTTGATTGTGTGCGCATACGAGGCATAATTGGAGAATTGCCCCGGTATGAGCGAATCATTGTGGCTGGCGGTGTCACGGCGTTACTGCATTGTCCATTTCCTTCTATTGTGCTCTAAGGCTCATCACTAACAGAAGCATTTTCAAGGGATGGACGACGAATAAGTTCTATTGAGAAATCAGTGCTTCCCGTGTGACCGCATGGAGTGAGGCGCCGCGTCATGGATGGATGGGGATCCGCTTCCGCGTGTGGCTCTTTGGGTGATTGCTTGCTCCGTGTGCGTTGTGTGTCGGCAGCGGGCTGTGGCCGTATCCCGTTGGCCGTGGGCTTGAACTGGAGGCGATGGCGGTGAGTCCCTTCTCGTTCTTGTCAATTGTGGTTGATTGCTGGCGGTGTGTGCGTTTGTTGTGTGGAGGGCCGAATCTTTTCTCCCGCGGACTGACGGCACTGCGATGGTGTCTGTGTGTGTGTGTGCGGGCTGGTGTGGAGTCGCCGGCCAGGGCGAGGGCCGTGGCGGTGCTTTTCCCGCCTGTTGTTTTTTTCTTTTGTGTGTTGTGCTGCTTCTTGCTTTTTTCCCCTCTCACCCTCTTCTCCTGTGTTCCTGCGTGGAGTGGCCGCATGCTCACGGGCCATGTTGATTGTGAGTGCCTCTTGACGGCATCCATTCATCTCCCTCCGCCTGTCTCTCTGTCATTCCCTGTTGGGTGTGGCGTGTTGCACTGCGCGAGGGCTGGCCCGCACACACCGACGGCTCGCCGTGACGCCCGCGATGGCCGGTGCGGAGTGGCGGTGCGTGGCGCTGGGTTTAGCGGGGTGAGTGGATGAGGTGCCTGCGAGAGGGTCAGTGCCCTTCTCGCACCCTATGTGTTTGTGTGTGTGGTGGTGCTCTTTTCTGTGGGCGATGGCTCTCCGTGCTGACCCTTCCGGATTGTCTTGTGTCCCGCTATCCGCGTGGGTGCTCTGCTCTGCTCTCCGCTGGCGTGTCTGATTTATTGCCGCTGCTACCGTTTTCCTCCTTCACTTCTTGAACACACACAAAGAAGGAAAGCAAG